GGCTACTCCTCCCAGTTTGGTATCATCAGCAAACTTGCTGAGGCAGCACTCCGTCCCTTCATCCAGGTCATTGATGAATAAATTGAACAGGAATTTCAGCAATGAATAAATTGAACAGGAATTGAACAGCAATTTCAGGGGTATATTTGTTTTGTTTTGGTTTGTTGTTGTTGTTGATGTTTGTTTTTCTTTTTAAACCAAGGACAGGCCTCTCTCTTTCAGTCAATCAACTGCATTCTTGACATGTCTTGCAGGACCATGTGATTCGAGAGGAAGCCAGGAGCCTGACCCTGAGGCAGTGTGCAATCATGGAAGTAGCCCTGGCTACTATTAAGGTACAGCTTTCTATGTGCTTCTGTTCCAAAAAACAGCAGATTCGAATACAATATTCTACAATACTAGACAATTCTAATACAGTATTGTGCAATGCAATACAATGTTCTATATGGCCTAATAGAATCATAAAGATCCGTGCAATATGGCAAGAACAGAATGGACCTAAGCTCTTCATAGGGATTTGAAAGCAAATGCCTAATACTCTGCTTGAAACAAAAGCTAGAAAAATTACTCAAACAATTGTAGCCCAAACATACACAACCTTCCGTTAAGGGGTGGGTGGCCAATTTCTTGCAGTTAAAAGTGCAGCTGAGTCTGTCAGGCTGAATCCTTGTTGTGCTGCAGCGTAGCCTCTCTGGCTCCCACGCAGGAAGGGCTGAGCCGGAAAAGTTTCTGCTAAATGCACTTTCCTACAAACATACCTCCCACACACAAGTATTTCACGGCACTGGAGGGTAGGGGTTTTTCTACCGTGCAGTAGAGTGCTCTATTTTAAATTCATTATCCAATTGAATTTTTTTTTTTGTCTTTTTGCCATTTGTATTCACCACCTAATCAGCTGTCTCTTCTACATAATTGGATTTAGTTCACAGATGCCATTTAATTATTCTTCATATTGGCCCTTTTCCCATGAAACCAATCACACTCAAATCTGAATGAATTTTATGTATCACCAACAAGATAACTGCTTCACAAAAATCTTACCATTACATAATTGCTTTAAAAAAAGATTTTTACAGATGATTTTAAAAATATATATTTTTAAGGCAACCATGATGTTTAGAGACAGTTCATTCAATCCTACATGTTACTGATCTCAGTATTAGCAATTAATTTAGTGATAAATAGAATCTGACCTCTCTAGAAGAATGAGAGGACCAGGCCACAGGCGGGATGAGTTATTCTGAACACACTATATTCAGATCAATGATCCTTTTGTTGGGTTATTTCCCTAATAAAATGCAAAAGCTGGGAGATGAATAAAGTCCTTTTTTTGATAGAAAGTTGGGAGAGAAAAAGAGCCATTTTCATGCAGTGTTCACATATTGGGCTTCCACAGTCTAAACCACCAAGAATATTATTTAATATACTTAAGTTCTTTTTGCATTAAGCTGGATCACTTCTTGTAAATAACTTCAAAGCAATCAGTTAACAGAATCACAGGATCTGCTAATGTCTCCAGATTACTTCTTTAAGTTTATTTGCTTTCATACAACGTTTAGGCTTGAGCAGCTGCTGCTGCAGATACCTCACTTTATGTGGAGACGCAACTGAAAATATCACAGTAATTATCACAATAACAAGAAACACTATGAACAGGTATTGAACAGCTATTAGAGCTTGCTTGCAAGCTGATTAAGAGCTTTGGTGAAAGCATGACCACACTTTCAAATAATACCATTAATAGCAATTTCCTTGGAAAGTGACTTGGAAAGATACAAGTTTCACATCAGCATTCAGTGGTGGCAAAATAAATAGCATAAATTTAAGGCTTCTAAATTGATCATAACTGCTCGTGTGGGATTAAAATAATTTGTAACCCCGCTGTGGAATGTATGCTGTTTGTTGGCAGAACAAATGCTGGGAAGCCCTTACCTCATCTTTTCATTATTTAGAAGAATCACTGCTATCCTCAGAGTATCCTGAAGAACTGGGAACCAGGCTTCATTCCCGTTCAGTACAGAACATGCCCTTATTTGAAACCTTTGTTTTGCTTTTAAAGATAATTTCTTTCCTGCAATAACCAATAACCCTTAACACCGAAATATAAATAATAACCTTATTATGAACTGTAGATTTCACAGCACACAAAGTTTGAATCTCCAAAGGTAAAAACGTCTCCAGACTGAGGCGCGGTGGGCACAGTAGGCACAGTACTGACTGCTCCATTAAAGACCTCAGTAGGACTAAGGACTTCGCCTGGGGGTGTGCACTGCAGTGTAGGTGAATACCCATCCTCCTTTCACAGCACCCTGTAAATGCAGGGAGAACACACTTTACACTTCTCAACACCCATTCTGAATGGCTGATACTATACGTTGTCAAGTAACCTATGTTTTCCTGAACACTATTGTTTGCTTTTACTAATCAGCCATTAACTTGAGCTCCGTATATCAACTTGAGTCCTAGAACTTAGGTCCTGGTTCCACAACATTTCTGCAGAGTATCTGAACAATATACCAAGGCAGGAAGTACTGAGATGAGCAGTTTAAGGTTAGGACATCTAAAGGAGGGTGCTGTTTCAGAAAGCCTTGATGGGCAGCTAGACTCAGACAGGGAGTGCTGATCTCCACACCAGCACAGACTGCCTGTAGAGTGTAGATCCGCCTGCGCTGCGTGGCTTGAGGTTTACTGATGCATCGTGTATGGAAGTGCATACAGACAGCTGTAGCTATAGCTGTCCTGCCCAAAAGGAAATCCTCTTTTCTTCCAGAAGGAAATCCCTCTTGAGGGAGGAAAGTTATTCTACCTGTCCTGTCTCAGAGGGCCACAAGATGATGACCAGTTCATCATTTCTTCCTCCTCCTTCCCAGTCCATGAAACCAAAATACAGCCACTCAAGGATAGCACACACCTTCCCTTCCCTGCATCTCCACGTAGGCACAGAAAATTATAATGCAATGCTAATCCCTAAATCTGCATTCTAGGATTTTCTCTTTTAAATCTGTGAGAAATTTTGCCTTTGCCTCAGAAATTTATTGTTTACTTATACTGTAAGCCATGATTTGAGTTTTGAGAACTATTTTTTTAAGATAAAAAGTAATTAAACTTACTTTCTATCTCCACAATCTAAAAAGACCTTCCACATTTATATGGCTTTGTGATATAAATACATGAGGAAATAAAGGACAGTGTAGTTTTGTGTAATTTTCTTGTCTGCAAATCTTAGAATTTTCACCTTTGGAGAAAAGCTCTGTAGTGGGGATGACCACAGTTCTCTCAGCCACTGCAATCATAAATTAAACCACAGCAGCCAGTCTTATTTTTAAAAGTTATGCATGAACTTTAGTTAAAATTGTTTGTCTAGCTGAGACCTCTGGTACCTTACCTCTCTGAATCTCTGTTTTCTTTTTAGCAATACTTCCATGCTGGAGGCAGTGGGCTGAAAAAGAACTTCTTGGAAAAGAGCCCAGACCTGCAGTCCCTGAAATACGCTCTTAGCCTTTACACACAAACTACGGATGCCTTGATTAAGAAATTTATACACACTCAGACATCTCAAAGTAAGTGACCTATAATAGACGTGCAAGTACCTCAAAATTATATTTTAAATAATTGGTTTTTCAAAGGCAGTCTACAAACATTGTGGTATTTTAGTATTTATTGACACAAATCTCTACATGGGATGTTATCCTGTGTCAGCCACTGCCATAAATCAATGGAGCTTGACTGAGGTCAGTGCATTTACCTGGCTGTCACTTTTGCATGAAAAGTAGGTCCCACAGTTCTGCATGAACACTGAATATCAAGGTTATTTGTAGGAGCATTCCAGACACAAACAGAATTGTACAGGCTAAACCAGACTGTATATTAGAATTATTAAAATCAAATAAATTCAGACGGTATTTTTGTTGTTATAAATACTTTCATAGCTGGCAGCTGTTAATTACTAACCAAGATAATTTTGAAAAGTATAACATGTCCCATAGGATTTTCTTCTGAGATTAAGAACAATTGTGGGTTACATACTCTTAAATGTAACACACTGGTTTCACATGACAGAACCTAGGCCGACTTCTCCTGCTAAGAGGTCACCTGTAAAAAATTTTCCAGAGCGCTCAACAGAAGTTCTGTGCCTGGGAATTTAGGAAGACATTGACAGCAAGTCTATCACTATGTGGGTTCAAAGGGAATGGGATGTGTCAGTTGGCTGAAATACAGCATTATTCTCCATGTTTTTCATTGTGCCTTTTAGAATTCAGAATTAAAACTATGCTGCTGAAAATGTCTCATCGTTCATTTATCAAAGATCAAAATTTTGATAATCTCCCAAAACCAAAAAAGGCGGAGGACATGCAAGAATCTCAAATTAGGTATATTTTGAATCTCAACATCACCAGCAATAATTCCACTTTTTTCTGCTGTAGAATCCTGGTGTACAAATCATTGATGCACAAAAATAATTGAAAGAGGTCTCTTTATGTATAATAAATATTACCATATTTTAATGTTACATGTCAGTAAAGAACCTTCTGTGACTTAAGTAGGAGGGCAAGAGTTCATGACTATAATGCAGAAAGGCAGAAATTCCTTCTGTTTTCAAAGAGAACTATTTCTCATCTTTGTTATCCATATTAGTGTTTTCATACTGCTATAGTCCATACAGGAACTCTTTTCATATATACAATGAGCAAAGCATTGCATGCTGAAGAGATTCTTCATTCTAGAAACTGCCAATTTTTACATAATAATAAGCAATACTAGATTTCTTTTGAATCCAGTGAGCATTTGTAAAAATGACTATCACTTCATATATTGAAGAAGACATACAGTTTTCCGATCTGTAAGAATTACCTTACTTCCACTCATGTGAATGCAAAAAAATTTAATTGGACACTTAAGCTGAAAATAAATTGATTGTTCCTCTGAAGTATGTTATCATAAAATATAATTTTGCAGCCTGCCCTCTGGATCCTTTCTATGGAGTGATTTCCCAGACATCTTCCATTTTAGACTTAGGATCATCATTAATAAATTATACACTAGAACTGAGAAAAAATCATATAAAGCTCTCCTATGTAGGAAATAGGTCATTTTTTTTCTCAAAGATGATTATAGATTTGGACAGAAAATGATTAATTATTACCACATTTTGCTTTTTCTTATGCACACTTTCAGTGCAACTTCAAGAGAGAGAATTACCTAGCTCTAAACAGAGATCCTTTGCAATTTCTAAACAGCAAACTTGAGCAATCTGATTTTCTTCAGATTTCAGCCTGAGGTCTGTGTTCAGTTCTGTGCATGCCTGTATTTGCACACCAGGAGGATCAGTATAGCCACTGAGAAGGAAAGGACAGGTGACTCAGAACTTTTTATCATCCTTTGATGTTATTAAATAGAACTAAAAATTAATTCATTATGATCTGTATGTATTATTAGCACTTAGTTAAAATGACCAGAAACTTGCTCTGAAATATAATTAAATTTACATCAACTCTCATATTTATGTATATAGTCAGTTATCCACAATCAATAAAAATAGTTGGAGGTAGCTAAACTGTGAGCAATGGGGAAAAAAAATACTTTCAAGCAATAACACACTGAATAATGATAATTATAAACTAAATTGAGATAAAAATTTAGTTAGTCTGAAAACCCGTTCTTTGTGATTAGCAATTACTTTAACTTATGAAATAAGATTACCAATATAAGATTTTGATCAATAGCTTCATTCTTTCTTAAACAGGAAACAGATTTTTTTTTCATTTTATAGAGTCTAAGAGGGTTTAAAAACTGATGTCTAAGTTCTGCACAGTTATTTCTAATCAATCTTAAAATGATGAGAGAGAATATTTGTATATTCCTAATTCTGTAAACCTCTTGAACTGAAACTCATAAAGTGTCTGTATCTATCACAGAAAGGAATGTTTAACCATTTTGCAGGTTTATTTCAAAGGCTTGCACTGACAGAAGAAACTATCAATAAACAGGTAGACAGTATACATGTGCACATACGCACGTGGTTGATGTGTTCTTTTGGTCTTGAGTTCAAATGTTACATTAACTTGAAGTGGTTTAACACAAATACTATTTCAAAATTCTGCAAAAGAATCTGAAGTTATTTATGAATTTACAATACCAGAGATGAGCGGGACGGGCACTAGCACAAAAGTGCAGTTTTGTAGTCTAGCTGGTCTCACATGGATCCTTGAATACCCTTGTCTGTCTGCTTTCACTTGTCAGCAATCTGTAAACATTATGAAAAAAGTGTATATTCTTCATTTCTTATTACTCGCTATGCACAAGATGCTTTTAACAGTTTCAACAGCGGTTCTAAAGCAGTTACATATCCTTGCAAAGCTAAAACTTCAGCTAGATGAAAACAAACCTGCTTTTCATCATCAAAATTTTCATGTTCCTCAGTTTCCTCACGGATGTTCCATGGTGAAAGTACAGTAGCATTGGAGCATTCTTCTGCATATTCTGGATGCTCAGTTCTTATGTACTGATTTGCATATGGCTCAGACCAAATAAATATTTCACCATCTACTCATTTGGCTTTTACAATATTGCAAGCATATGGCAAGATAAACAAGATGCAGGGGATGCGATTGAACTAGACCCTGGTTCCATGACTGGGAAGTGCTTGGCACGCAGTACGGTCTCTTGTCCTTCCCTCAAATACTTCTTGTTGCCGGGGGCTGCTGTCTCTGCTCAGGCTGTGGCAGCTGGGTGAAAGTTGATTACAAGAGCTCTACGGCTGTGCCCGTTCGTGATAACCAACCTCTCTGCTAGTCCTGCTCCACCAGACACGAGGAGCTTCAGATCCATCCCCAGGCTCACTTAGCAGGTGTTTTTCCTCAGTCCACTCTCAGCTCTGTTTCAGCAGAACCAAGACCCCTGTGGACAAACATTCACTGGTCATTTATCAACTATGGAGCTGTAATAACTTGATTTTTACCTTTCAGACATCTTCCAGCATAGCACTGAGATCCTGTGGTGAAGACTGAAAAAATAAAACAAAATCCACTAACTTCTATATAGTCCAGCTGATTTATCTGTCAGGAAATAAATTCTTCCCAGTCCCTAAATAACTGGTACAGTATCAGTCAGTGTAGTACAATTGCAGTGGAGGAAGGACCAATTCAAATGTTTCCACAGTGTAGATTCTCTATTTGCCCTCACACACGATGTCTGCAATGAGCAGAACAGACAGCTTAAACCTCCCTGTGTTAGGAAAAATAGAGTGGAGGTTTGGCAGACAGCTTTGCTTGACTGTTGGCTTTAGGAAAAAGGAATTGGGCAGAATGAATCTCAGCAAACTGCTGCAGCTGACATTTGTGCCTGTAGTAAAGAACATGTAGCCCTTCTGTTACGGACCTTGGCACATTGAACCAATATAGACAAGAGCAAGGACAGCTGGCTCTGCATAATGGTTTAGATAGTAAAAAGTAAGGACTTGGAAAGTTGTACAAGCTATTTCATAAATAAAATGAATATTAATACCAGTATAAATAATAATAACAGTATAAATATAAATAAAAAATAACAAATACAAAAAGAGAGCACCAAACTGTCAGACCCCCGTTAGCTTTCCTCTTTCTTCCTTTTAAGGACGTCGGACCTAACCTAAGCATAAAACATGAACTGTGAGTGTACCAAATCAAAGAATCATATTTTTTTCTTCATAAACATATTGACAGAAAGTATTTACATAACACCAAAGGAAAGCATGTACTGTCTCAGTATAAGTCATATAAACATACATACACACAAACACATACATGTGTGTCTATATATACTGTTGCCACAAAAAAGCTTAGTAAAACTGTTGCAGTGAAAATAAAATCCCTAGCCAAAATGATGAGGAAAGCACAAATATCATTTTAGCATAACTGTAGTAGAAAACTGTCAGCTTATGAAACATCCATGGATGTTTTATGTATGATTTTTAAGGTGTCAAACTGCTAACAAATAGTTTTCAAAATACCATATGCAACCAAGGATGTGCATGCAGATCCTGATGATGTGCATTCTGCCCACTCAGGATGCACTATAAAGTACCACTAAGCTACAAGCAGACAATGATCAGGGTTACTTTTAACCACAGACGAGGGGGTTCTTCTTTTTCCATTTTTCCATCAAGCTGCTAAGGAACTGAAGGGGAAAAAAATGGTTGTTTGACTAGTTTGAGAAGCAGGTGCCTTCACAGTTTTTCTTTGTATCTTACTTTTGATTCTACATTTCTGAGCAATCCTACAGACTCTCCGGACTCTTTTCTCAACAGACAAGTGTTTCAATCAGCACCATCCAGGAAAATCTTGTTTTCTTATGCACATACAGCAGGTTACTTTTATAAGTCTTATCAGAGAATGTTACAACTCTTTATTGTAAGAATATATGGCATAGCAATCCAGAACTGCAGCGTGTCGTTGCTTGACTAACAGGAATTTGTATTAGTTAAGCAGAAAATCAATACTTGAACTGCACGGAGCTCATACTGCAGGGCCTATTTTGTGCTTAAATTGCTGCGGAGCAGGGTACAGGGTATTCTTTCACATTA